CCATAAGGCATTCCTGCCAGTGGCTTGCTGGGATCAGAGCTGGGGGCTGAATCTGTGCTTTTTTTTTCATTGCTATTCATACGAACATTATGTCTCTGGCTTGTGTGTCCAGAAACATTCCAGAACTGTGCCAGCATTTGAAGTTTCTTTGCTCTGCCCCCCTCCCCAGCACTCACAGGCTCTCCGGTCCTCTGCTCTGCTGCCAGCCAAACCATATCCCTCTACCACCGTTATCACTGTTGTGTTGGAAATAGAAATAATGCTTTCAAACCTCACTCCCACACCCCACCTCCTCTCACCTCCTGGTCTCCTGAACGGGTGCATTAACGGAATGTGTGTGCTGGGAATTCTGCCTCTGCTTTTAAAACCGCTCCTGGCATTGTCACTTCAGGTTCCCCGCAGCATCTCCGCAGCAGGCTGGAAGAAGGAGGGTGGCCTCCCGGGTCCCCACAGTGGGGGCTGTTCTGAGAGCTGAGGCCCCGAGCGTAGGACGCACAACCCACACCCCGCCGTGCCAAGGGCTGCTTCTGATGGTAGAGCTTTCACAAAATGCTTGAAAACTTTCATTGTTGCTCTCTCCACCCCTCACCCCTACCTCTTCTTCCTTCTCTCCCCATGCCTCCCCCCAAAAGGTGATAATTTGCTTTAATGTGCAATTTGAACATAAAATGATAATTGATTGTGTTGATGGATCCCTGTGGCATCCTGCTCCCGGGCTCTTCCCTGGAGTCCTCGGGGTCTGCCTAGGGACCTCACAGCCCTCTCCTCCAACCCCAATGCCCCCCACCCCCTTTCAGGCAGAATTTGTCTGATGCCACAACTTTAAAGACTTACCAAACTCCCCCAGCCCACCGTTCTCGATCCCGCTCACATACCCTCGCACAGCTTCTGGATAGCTCCTGATTTTTTTTCTCAGATGGCAGCTTCCATGTGAACAGCAGTGGACATTTCTGGACGTGCTGGACGATGTGCCGGGAATGAAGAGATCACAGCTGTGCAGCTTCCACAGGAATCACAGCCCCAGCAGCAGCCGGCCAGGGCTCGGTGTCATCACCCAGGAGCTCCCTCTCCAGGCTCAGTTTTCAGGGCCACCTAAGTGTGACTGCAACCTGCCGGAGTGTCGTGGGTGTATAGTAATTGTGCGTAGGCAGCTTGCCCACTCGCCTGTCCGGCCGTGCCATCCAGTGGCCAGCGGAGTCCCGAGCTTGGTGGGTAGATGGATGGGAGGTCGTGAGAGTTTTCAGAGCGGAGCCAGAGGGTCCTTTTGAGACACTTGAGAGGTGACAAATACTTTTTCCCTACCATGGACTGAATGTTTATCCCGCTCAAATGCATACACTGCAGCCTCCATTCCCACTCTGATGGTATTCGGAGGTGGGGCTTTGGGCAGGTAATTAGGCCACAAGGGCGGTGCCTTCATGAACGGGCTACGCGAAGAGACACGACCGAGATAATCTTGAAGTAAACCATGAACTTAGTTAATAATAATACATCAATTATCACAAATAGATCACACCTATGCAACGTATTAGTAAGTAGAGAAGCTAGGGCAGGGGGCAGGAAGTCAGTGGTGGGGGGGAGGGGAGAAGGGAGGAGTGGTGTGTGTTGAGGGGACGGTGTGGAGAAGGGGAGCTGTTGGATGAAGAGCTTTATGGGAACTCTTTTTACTTTCCACTCAATTTTTCTGGAAACCTAAACCTGCTTTTAAAAATAGCCTATTAATTTTTTTAAAATGGCAAAGTATAAAACCTGGGAATTTAATCAAGAATACATACAAGATCTCTATTTTTAAAACTTTAAAGTTTTATTAAAATAGTCTATTATAAAAGAGAATTTTAATAAATGGAAAAACACTCCATAGTCTTGGATGGGATGATTTAACATTATTAAGACATTAATTCTTTCCAGATTAATCTATAGATTCAGTGTCATCATGATTAAATTTTAGTTGGATTTTTTTTGAGGTACTTAATAAACTTACTTTGATATTGATTTGGAGGAATAAGTCTATGGAAAGCTGAACCAACCTTTAAAAAGAATAGTGAAAAGAAGGACCTTTCCCTATCACATAATAAGATGTATTTTAAAGCCATAGCATTGAAAACAATTTGATAAAGACAAATAGACCAAACAGAATGGAGTAGGGAGCTCAGAGATACACCCACGTGTATCTGGGGATCTAATATATGAGAAAAGGGGCACAACAAACCAATGGGGGAAAATGATCTGAACACATCAAAATTAAGGATTTTGTTTCGACAAAAGACATCCTGGAGATAGTTAATAGATGCTGGGCAGAAAGGGAGAAGGTATTTACAATACTAACATTGACAAGGGATTTATACTATATATGTAAACGCAAATCAACAAGAAAAAAAACCAACCACAATACAGAAAAATGGATAAAGTTACGAGTAGATAATTTCAGAAGAGAAAACAGATGAAAGCAATAAGCATACAACAAGGTACTGAGATCACTGGTGATCGCCCTAATGCAAATTAACAAAATGAGATACAATTTTGCACCTGTTACACTGGGAAACAAGGAGAGCTGGGAAGTATCAAGTATTGGCAGGGATATGGAGGGTGGAGGGGTACGGAGCGGTGTTACCTTCCAGCGCTTGGCCTGGAACTATGAGGCCAAATGAGAGACATGCATATTCTCAGACACGGAAATTCCCTTCCTGGGCATGCTTCCCCAGGAACTTCCCACGCAGCCCACAACAAGAGCACGCGTACAGGCCATCCAGGGGCTGTCCATGCCGGCAAGGACTGGAGACAGCCGGGAGGCTCACCTCCAAGGGATGGATAAAGCAAATGCGGTAGTTACACATGGGCTATTACCAGCAGTTGGAAGCAAGGATCAGATATATGCATAGAACCACGTGGACAGATCTTAAAAACATAGTGTCTGTTGAACTACATCAGGGAACACGAAATACAGAACATATAACCATGTGCATAAATCTAAAATGTGTGTACACAAAACAAGAATACGTATTTCTTGAGAGCACATTCCTAAAAGGAAACAAAAAAAAGGGGGGGGGGACCTTGCGTGGACCAGTGTGATGGTGTGGCAGGAAATAAGGAGAAGGACTAGCTCAACCCTCTGCTTCTGAGGTCACGACACTGAATGACTTACTTTTTACAAGTTAGATAAAAATGAGCTTGGAATTTAAGTCCATTGTCCCCTGTTAAAATCTCCAACCTTTTCCTTACAAGACATCAAAAAAGATATTTTGGGATAAAACAGCATAGATTCACATCCTAGCCAATTACATGGTGATTCTCAAAGCCCCTTCCTGCGCGAGCAAGAATGTCACGTCAACGGTCTTTCTTTAGATGAGATGGGGGTTGGGCACATAAGCCAAAGAACCTGATTTTTTCTGCTTATCAGGGACCATGCTGGGTGCTTTAGACACTGTCTCATTTAATGCTCACAGTGAGAGGTAGGGATTATAATGCCATTTGGCAGAATCCGTAACTAAAGTTCAGGGCAGTTCAGTAACATGCTGAAGGTCTATAGTTAGTAAGAAGCAATTCTTTTTTTTTTTAAGTAGGCTCTACACCCAGCGTGGGGCTTGAACTCACGCCCCAGAAATCAAGAGTCACAGGCTCTGCCGGCTGAGCCAGCCAGGCGTCCCAAGAAGCAATTACTCGCAGCCAGGCCTTTGTGTTGTCCACGCCTCACCATACGGAAAGGCACTGGACGGTGGGAAGGTCCAGGGGCTCATTTTGAGTCCATGCACTGGGTACCTGTGAAGAACTTGAGGGCTGGGTATCAGCCATCACCTGTGACCAGGGGGAGCCCAGGCAGCCGCCTGCACCGCCTCCTTCCTGGAGGGACAGGTGGGGCCACCTGCCCGGTTTCCCCAGAAGGACTTGCGTGTTTTGTCCAAGTCTGCAGCAGCGGGTGCGGGGTTCCCTCGCATTGCCCCGGCTGACTCTAGCAGTGCCCGGGATTTCTTTATTGTGCCCCCGCGTCTCAATTTGGTCAGAGTGCTCTCTCGCCATGGCAAACTCCTTGAGGACAGAGACAAGTGGGGACTGTCTCTGTACAACCCCAGACAAGCAGCCCACACCACAAAGAGGAGATGTCCCTGTATTAAATATGTTCTCACAGGATTAAAATGCAAAATGCTTCTCTCCATCACATCAGTTTGGTAGACCTCTGGGTTTGAAAGCAATTTGTTTATGCCTGTAAGAAATCAGGTTGGGAAAAATTAAAAATTATAATTAAAGGCACTACACCTCATGCAGTCGCGCTACAGGCGATTCACCATAGCATTCCTGGTGAATGTGGGCAGAGTGCATACAGGTTATGAGCCAACAGAGTCTGGGCTGGCCACCCAATGGCCTGCAACCCCCTCGCCAAGAGGGATTTTAAGAGCCCTGACAGACACCAACAAGAGTGTGGCAAAGAGCATGAACCTTGGAGTCAAGATCCCTGGGTCAAATCCAGCTTGACCTCTAACTGTGGGAATTTGGGCAAGCGTCTTAAGCTCTTTAAGCCTTACTTTTGTCATCTGCAAAATGGGTATAATAATACACTCCTCATAGGATTGTTATAAGGACTCACTGCAACTGTAAATGCAAAGTATATAACAGAATATCTGGAGTGCAGCCAATACTCAGCAATGTTCACTATTTTTGTTGTTATAATGAATAAATATCTCCAAGGATGGAGGCTCCCTTTGCAGTGTCACCAACATCCTACAAGGTAGAAATGAGCATGATTACCTCTGCTAAAGTGGGCGGGAAATGCAGTGACTTACCCAGGTTCACAGCTGAGCACACAAAAGAAAAATCCGTTGCAGTTCATCTTTCATTCATTCACACTTTGAAATGTTTAACCCATATAGGAAATATTTCTTGTATGCTAAGTTTCCCTAGTATTTTTCCTTGAGAATATTTTTTTAAAGCAATTTAGAATGATACAGTCTTAGAGTTAGGAGTGGAATGTTCATGGAAGTCACGCAGCCCGACCTTTTTCCAGTTGGGGAAATCATATAAGCACCCCCCTAAGCCCACCACTGGTGAATACTGAATCAGCTTATGCTCAGGTAACTCAGCTATGGGGAACTCACGGCATTGGGAGACAGTCCTTGCAAGTGACCCCCATCCTCCTTATGATCAGCCCTTTCTTCTTAACTCTTAACTTCTTCTTAACCTAGGGATAAGCCTCTACGTCCCATGAAAGCTGGTTCACTGCTTCGTCCACAGGACCTAACACAGTGCCTCAGAACCTAGCAGGCAAGCAAGAGATATTTGTTGGATGTAAAAGGAAGGAAGGAAGGAAGGAAGGAAGGAAGGAAGGAAGGAAGGAAGGAAGGAAGGAAGGACTACCGTGCTATGGTTTAGAGTCCAAAACATGCACGATACATACACTTCATCTAAATTAAACATTTGGGGAGATTTCAAGTAAAACAGTTATAGAACTATAACTATCCTAAGACCTAAAAACTATCCCAGGCTTGAGTGTCAGCAATAAAACTCTGCTTTAAAGTGAATTGCCCACTAGGGGTGGTTGAGTCGGTTAAGCATCTGACTCTAGGTCCTGATCTCAGAGCTGTGAGATCGAGCCCCCACATGGGCCTCCACACTGGGCGTGGAGCCTGCTTGGAATTCTCTCTCTTCCTCTTCCTCTGCCCCTACCCCCCCTAAAAAAAAAAAAAAAAAAGTAGAAAAAGGAGGAAGGAAAAGAAAAAATCGCTTAAAAAAATTAAAGTGAATTGCGCACTAAAATAGATAAAAATAAATAAATAAACTGGCCACTGATTATAATGGTGTGAGTAGTGGTCAGATGATAAACAGCCTCACATGCATTTTCAAATAGTAACAATTAATACATGCCTGAGAGATAGTTACTAAGAATTTCATTCATTTCCAAACGTCTTTTTCTTTTCTTTAACTTGTAACAATTTATAACCTATCATCTATTTTTGAACTTAATACAATGCCTAAGACCCTAATAGAAATGTATGGAATTCTGAATTGGTCACAAGGACAGACTTTCGACAGAATCTGCTTATGCTTTCCCCCAATGAGCATTTACTCATGGACAACATAGTTTCTTTCTCAAATTAAGTCATTGGATTTATTAACTATTGTATCAAAGAAGAAAAAGACAGTTAATGGTGCCTATATTATGGATAAACAGATGCCCTCACTTGATTAGTAATAAATAAGGCACGTCACCCTGTTTCAATCTTATTATGCCATATCTTGGATTGTTTCCTTTTTCTCTTTTGCAGAATGTCCTTTGCTACAAGTTTCAAGTGCCCAATGACTGATGTATTGTTCTCTTCCCAGGAGGAGGGGAGAAGCGTTAGGTACCTGGTACCCAGCAAAAGCCGGGCCGGCAGAGTTATCAGCGGAATTCCTCAAAGTGACAGAGGGCTGGATGAGGGGTCCCTTGCTGGTACAACCAGGTCACAAGCCTAAGAAGGCTTGACGGGTGTGGCTGGCTCCCTCCCCAGGGCCTGCTCTGTTTCCGATCTGGGCTTTGCTGCCCCCGGGGCCGTGCTCCTTCCCCTGGCTCTCTGCAGGACCTCAGGCTCCAGGAATTTGGACCGAGTGGTAGAGACATCGCCGGCAGAGACGGCCACTTCCAGCTTCCTCCCTGTGCTGTCTTGTGATTCAAAGCGGACTCTGCTCCACTTTTTAAAAAGGGCAGCCCGTTAATGCTGGAGACCCACATGAAGAGAAGCAAGCAAGGAGACCCAACAGTCTGAGGCAAGAGTCGGTGAGTAAGCAGCTCGTCCGTGGTGGACCATGGCGGGGATGTGGTCATGGGGAGCCCAGGGGCACAGGAGCCTGATTGCTGAGTGTCCTTGTGGGAGGTCAGAGGAGCTGCATGATCACTGGGACTTGGTCATTTCACAAATGACCCGGGCTAGGACCTGCCTCCTCCAAACACACGGAAAGACACCCCCCCACACAAACACACACAGTCTACCCCTATTGTACCAAGGCATCCAAGCCCTGCATTTGTGCCTGGCTGCAGGGAAGATGCTCTTCCATCTTGCACTTTTATCCAAAGTACACATCGTTGAGCCCAATGGCCTTATTTGCCAACTCCTCATAGGAAGGGACTTTGGACTGGGCTTCTCTCACGCCAATCCTGTCTGACACCAGAGTTAGATAACTCAGCAGAAATTGCTGAGGGCTGTATGTGTGCCATAGTCATTGAAAACCCCTTGGCCTTTCTCTTCTTTGCATTAATTTCCAGCTAGTGCCCTCTCTTCCTTGGAGGGGTACCATTCTTCGGTAGGAGCGATACTGCTATAATTCTCCTGTCTGTGAAAGCGCTTTTTTTATGACAATCGTTCACATCACAAGAATTCTGCTATTCTAGGCACAATTAGCTTATGTATCACTATTTTCATGTGCATTTATATCCTTAGTGTTTTATGTATCACTCATGGGAGACCAGGGCTTGAGTCATGTGTTTTCTTTCTTCTATATATGTATATAGTGATTCAACACTTCCACTCATCACCTGGTGCTCATCACAAGTGCCCTCCTTGATCCCCATCACCTAGATCCCCCCTCCCCCGGTCCCCTCCCCTCTGGGAACCATCAGTTCTCTATAAATAAGAGTCTGTTTCTTGGTTTGTCTTTTTCTCTCCCTTTTTTTCTTTTTGTTTTGTTTTGTTTCTTAAATTCCACATGAGTGAAATCATACAGTATTTGTCTTTCTCTGATTGACTTATTTCGCTTAGCATTATACTCTCTAGCTCCATCCATGTTGTTGCAAATGGCAAAAATCTCATTCTTTTTATTACTGCATAATATTCTACTGTATATATATATATATACACCACCTCTTCTTTATCCATTCATCTGTTGATGGACACTGACCCATGTATTTTCTTTTTTTTTTTTAAGATTTTTTGTTTATTTATTTGAGAGAGAGAGAGAGTGAGCACAAGCCGGGGGAGCGGCCGAGGGAGAGGGAGAAGCAAGCTTCCCGCTGAGCAGGGAGGTCGACTGTGGGGCTCGATCCCAGGACCCTGGGATCATGACCTGAGTCGAAGGCAGATGCTTAACCCACTGAGCCACTCAGGCCTCCCTAGCCCATGTATTTTCTTAAATGATTCACCAAGTGCTTTAAATCTCATCCCCCCTGTACTGGAAATACAGCTACCTTGTAAGACTATTGCAATGATTAACTGAGAAAATACAAAGTCTTTTGTAAAATACTATGTAATTTTTTATTATTATTAATTATTATTATTCATGATAGACACGGCACAGCTCTAAGCTGGCTAAATACCAAGAAATAGGAGTAGGATGTACTTCTTACATTTCTTTCCCAACCCAATGGTTTACTTCTGACCAGACGAGAGCCTTGGCCAAAGTCATACGTTTAGCAAGTGACAAAGCGCCTAAAATCCTTCCAGCTCACAGTGTGGCTTCACGGCGCATGTTTCTAACGCAGACACAATAGGATACAGCGAAGCAGCAGGTGAGGGATGAGGCTGGGGGCAGGTGAGCAGCACTGCCCCGGAACGCCTCCCTCAGCCATTGTGAGCCCCGAACCCAGACCAGTTCTCTGCAGAAGGGTACTGTCTGCCTCACCCTGCATCTCCTCCCTCTGAGCTGCAGGAAGCCTCCCTGCCTCCATGCGGCTGGGCCTGTTCACGCTCTTCCTGCTTCACTCCTGCCTCCATGGAGGACAGGGCGACCTCCGCGAGGACCTGACCTTGCTGAACACCGAGCTCGCGCTTCGCCTCTACCAGGACGCGACAGCCCCTAGAAATGGAACCAACGTCGTCATCTCTCCTGCCGGAGTGTCGCTCCCTCTGGAGATCCTGCAGTTCGGAGCCCAAGGGAACACCGGCCAGCAGCTGGCACGAGCGCTGGGTTACGCTATCCACGGTAAGAGGACTGCTCACACTCCTGTTCCCTCTGCTGCTCCCGCTCCCGCTCAGGCTTCCTCGGGGGGTGGGGGATCTCCGAATCCAGCGGCTGGCACTGGCCGACCGCCAGGAGAGAAGGGTGACCACAGGCAGCCTGCGAACTTCGGATCGTGGTCCCCTGGATGATCGTTCGGTTTCCCTTCTAACCTCAGTTTCATTTCACTAGCCCTTCTGCAGAGCCTACCAGGTGCCAGGAAGTGTCCAAAGCACCTTGTAATTTAAAGTAATTTAATTAATTGTCACAACAACACAATTGCCATTCTGTCTTCTGATGCTCGGAGAAACCAGACACAATAGCTAGATAGATGATGAAATGATACCTCATCCCTATTTTAGAGATGAGCAAATAGACACCGAGAGTTTAAGCAACTTGCCCAGCGTCACATAGCTAGTAAGTAGCAGACTTGAAACTCAAGCCCAGGTTGTCTAGTTCCAGAGCCCATGGCCTTGAGCCACCTGCTTTCATAAATCTGTGTTTTCTAGCCAGTGCGATCGCTACCAACATAACTCCGTGATTATGTAGTTTCGAGCAGCTCTGTCAGCAGCGGCCCGAGTCTTGTGAACTCCGGGTCAGCCATACCTAGCCTACACGCGGGGCCTCTGGCTCCATGCCTGGCCCCAGGGCCCACCTACCAGCTCCATGTTACCCCAGACACTCATGCACATAGCTTTGGCTTCTCAATCTTAGAATAAGATATCAATAAAAAAGGATGGGAGTTGCAACTGTATAAGTTAATATGTTCTAGAAAGTATAAGAACTGATCCCACACAGCCTCGGTGAGAGCTTCCTTTGAGCTAGAATCTTGAGGTGGCAAGTAAGATGTCGGGCCACTAGGCAACAGCTATACATCCCATCCCCCACCATCCACGCCCTGTCCCCTGCCAAAACAACTCTCATGACCCTGCCGGCCAGCTTCATTTTTCTCAGCAAGAATATCACAGAAATGCACACATCCACAGACGCATTCTTCAGCCACATTAGATTCAGTACAATGCAATCCATGAAACACTCCTGAGCTCCTGTTGCACGAGCTGGTGCTGTGCCAGGACCTCAGCATCCAGAGTGACAGGGAAAACTCTGAACACAAGCAGCTCAGTCTCATAGGAACGATGCACATAGAAATACCGCCCTAAAGCGGTGCAGTAAGTGTATTTATTTGGAATAAGCACGGGGAGGGAAGGATTTATCCCACTGGCAGCTCAGGAAGGCTCCCCAGAAGACATGGGATCTGAGCTGAGTTATGAAGAATAAATAGGCGTGTGAAAGAGAGACAGGCATTTCAGCCCTAAAACAGAGTCTCACAAAAGTCAGCATTAGGGGACAGAGAGAAATGCAAGTGTAGCTATACCGCTGAGAAAGGGAACTGATTATAGCCCTTTCTCCGTTGTCAGGTATGGTCACGGTACCTGGCTAACCAAATAGGATGATTAACAGGGTGCCATAGACCCCATTCGAGAATTATCAAATGTCAAGAATGCTTAATAGTCAAACCCCGTGGAACATAATCCCACCCTTTTTCTTACTCACAGGCTGCTTTATTATCTTACAGAGCCATGGTTAATTTTTATGAACAGGGATGTGCCACTTCTAGAGTTCCAGTTAATAGAATACCCCTGTACTTTGGTTTGCCCCAACCTAGCTCAGAGAACCATGTGCACTGTCTAAAATAACCCGTCAACGCCCACTACCTGCCCGGACCCAGGCTTCCTTTTAAAAGTCAATGCAGACCAATAAAATGTATAAAAAGCAGCCTCAAGCACATTCCAGGGTCTTGGGGCATTGTTCCGGTTTAATCAACAGAAAGACCTATTCACGTTTGCAGTGGGGCACATCAGCATTGTCTTGTTCTCACTGCGTTTCCAGCCCACACGTGACCACCAGGAGCTTTGCTAGGATTCCTACCTGCTGGTCACACAAGCACACTGTGAGACTCAGAATGGACCCCAGCGGTATCCCTAAAGAGCACCTTTGTTTTCACCACACAAAACACCCAATTTCCTGATGTTCCGAGTTCGAGGGAGTTCTGGGGCTTTTCTAGATAAATTGATAAAGAACACTTTATAGCTTTCTATTAAGCACAAGAATAATGCCAGGAACAGAAGCCTCAGAAATGAAGGTGGCCTGGCTCTTGGGAAAAAACTCTGTTTGATGATGGTATGGATTTCACTTTTCCAGTCATTATATCATTTGATCCTCATAGAAACCACATACATTAATAATCCCCATTTTATAAATGAAACCAGATATTAATGATTTGGCAAGACTCGGCAGGTGGCAGAGCCAGAATTCAAGTCCCAGAGACTTTGACCCCAAATCCTATGTTCTTTCCACAATTCCTCCACCCCACTCTAAGCCCCCGAGCAGATGCATAAAGATATAAGTACCTTGCCTTTTTTAATTTTTAATCAGAACCATCCCCATTATTCCCTCAGCCCAACCAAACCTTTTGACATCATCCTCAACTTAGCCCTCTTGTAATTTTCTGGCAAGTAAAACATTTGCATCACTAAGTTTGTTGTTTGAGAATTTTATATTCATTAACCTTACGAAGTCAGGTCCCACCAGATTCCGTGTCACATTCAGGAAGTTCAGTTCAGCAAATTGACTCAAAAGGAAGGCACTCTCCACACTGGTCTCACAAATGAGTTAAAAGGCTCATCTGTAGCAAGAGAAACTCATGAGAAAATACCATTTCTTCTTCTAGCACTTTCCTCCCTCTCTGTGGCCATCCGAGAGACCCTCTCTTCAATCACACCGCGCTCACTACATTCCTGATCTAGGGCAGTGCCCAAAACTTTCCTTCCTTCCGCCTTCTTCCCTCTCTCATCGTTCTGTGAGATCTACCTAGCCTGCCCTCCAGCAAGAAAGATGCTCTCAGGAGGGGGAGGGAGAGGAGTTAAGCCAGCAGTGACACGATTCTCTTTCAAAGAACTGTAAGGGAGGTGCTGTTGTTATGGTTCACATCACCAGTCCTTCTTGCCCCATCACGGCCACGGGCCTGGGACACTCACAGTCATACAGCAAAATGGGCGGCTTTGTGCTCCAGAGCCTCACAAGAGGAAGCGGCTCTCCAGAGCAAAGCAGGGTGTCCCGTCCCTTCCCCGACGGGCAGGAGGGCGGTGAAGTGCCACGTCCAACCACCCAGTGACACCGAGCAAGCTTATTAATTTGTCCGAGCCCAGCTCCTTCACCTAGAAATGGGAGTCACAATAGCAGTGAATTCACAGGCTCGTTGAGAGGATTGAATGTGACCGTGAATGTAGCCCAGAGTCTGTGAATACCGTATTTCTTATACTGACACGTATATTCCACAGCATCTAGAAAAGCTCTTCTCCTGTGCAAATGGGCAGGGACACACTAGGCTCAGGTGGAGAAAAGCTTTCTCCAGCCAATTAACTCTGCTACTTTAACATTTCTAGCTAAAAGAACAGCTGGTCCCCTGGCCCAGATTGGGTGAGAAGACGGAGAGGAGGTCACCCTACACTATGGACCAGTGAAATGTCTCACTTTGTCCCAGCAGATGGTCAACATTTTACAGGGACATGATTTTATAAATACATATGACCTTCCTCAGTGAGGAAAATCTGGCAATAAGTATTTTTTTTTCATTCATTTCTTTTCTCCTTAAAAGAAAAGCACTGGAGTTAGGCTGCAATTCACGAGGTATACAACCCAAGTCTGTTTTTTACAGTTGTGGATTCTAAGAAATAGCTTTGGTCATGAGAGTTTTCTGGGCGAGTGAAATCTGTCTACAGCTGCAATCTGTAGCCCGGTGGCGGGGGCCCTGGCCAGGGTGTATTCTGGGGGCCTGTGCCCCTCCGGAGAACTTTGGCCAAGCAACGTGGGGGTCTGCTGCCATCCCCCAGCCTGGCCTCTGACACATGACGGGTGTTGGAGTGGAGGGACCCCACACCACGTCAGAGACTCCTTCCAACAGGTGCCCTGGGAGGGCCAGAGAAGGGCACTGTAGGAGGAAGGGGCAAAACATGTGTCTCCCAGGGCCGATTTGTGGCTAGCCACAGGGCTGTGCCTAGGAGGAAGGAGAGGCAAGGAGGACAAGCGAAGGGCCTTGTTCCAGAGGAAGCCTGCACAGGAAGGGGAGCTGACTGCTGGAAAAGCCCAGCTTCCATGTCTCAGGGGCGGCCTGGGGTACTCCTAGGGGAGACTAAAGGCCACAGCTTGTAAATAATACTGTGAAAAAGAAATCCACTATGGATTATGGAAAGAAGGAAGCAATCTCCTGTGTAAGTAGTAAATAAATAGAAGTCCAGCCGCCATCCAAGAAGGTGGAAACTATGGACTCTCTCAAACGCTTGTTATTTCCTCAACATTCTTGCAGGTTCTTGCTGACATTAATAGCACCAGCTGTCCACTGGGTCTTAGGGAGATGGGGGATGGGAGGCGGTCTTACCTTTCCTCTGTGTTTCTCAAATCGAAAGCAGAGTGCTGAAAGAGGCCCCATCTAAATGTCCCTTGGGCTTGCGACCTGCAGTTGTGGGAACGGATCTAAGGCCCTGTTCAAGATGTATTGACAATTTGACACCGTGACCACCGTCTGTCCTTGTTATTTATGATGCTTTCCATAAATCCGCTTACTTCTTAAATATTTGCAGCCCCATTGCCCTGTACACCTGACCTGCAGTTTTCCCAGCCCTCTGTACTCTCAACATGTCTGCTCCACATGTCTGACTCCAGAAGTTAAGGAGGAATAGCCTCTGGGATATTGGTAGTGATTTTCTTTTTCTTTCTTTTTTTTTTTTTTAAGATTTTATTTATTTATTTGAGAGAGAGAGAATGAGAGAGAACACATGAGAGGGGATAGGGTCGGAGGGCAAAGCAGACTCCCTGCCGAGCAGGGAGCCCGATGCGGGACTCGATCCCGGGACTCCAGGATCATGACCTGAGCCGAAGGCAGTCGCCTAACCAACTGAGCCACCCAGGCGCCCTGTAGTGATTTTCTATTTGTCTTAATCACAGCTTGATTTCTCTCAGATCTTGCATGGCTTTCCCCCCAGCTTTTAAGCTGTGGATCCAGGCCAATTCCTGAGCGATTTAGTTATGACTTCCCCAAATAGGCTGTAATTGGTAGGTGAACCTCTGAGACAGAGTGGTGTGGCTGAGGCCCCATTTCAGTGCACTGTGCAAAGACGGATGGTGTTAACTCCTTACCTACACTCACCACTGTCAATTTATCCCAACACCTTTTTCCCAGACCAAAGGGTGAAAGAGTTCTTACGCACTGTGTATGCCACACTACTCAACGCCGGTCAAGGCACCAAGATGGAGCTGGCTTGCACCCTTTTTGTGCAAGCAGGAACGCCACTCTCCCCCTGCTTTGTGGAGCACATCTCCCAGTGGGCCAACAGCAGCATAGAGCCAGCCCACCTCAGTGAACTGAACGGCATCGGCAGCCAGGCCAGTGAATGGGCCTCCGGGAAGATCAAAGGTAAAAGAAACCATTCACCTTGGAGAGGCTAATGTCAGAGGGCCATAGACACAGGTACCAGGCCTTGCTGGTCAGAAGCCACGTGGATGGATACTCAGGTCACCCTCAGTTGCAGCAGAAGTTGGCCCTCTTGGGAGACGCTACCCTTAAATGACGTGCTCTAGAAGGCCTCCTTCTGCCCATCCCCCTACACACACACACAGAAGGGGGCTCTTCAGAGCCTCCTACCTCCAGGGGAGCCCTGCAGGCTTTGTTCTAAGCACCTGTTCCCTTAAGGTGAATCTCTGACACCTCCCCCCCGCAGCTCTGCTGTCATCTACAGTTACCATCCTGTGACAGCAAAATACAGTAGGAGCCAAAGAAATTCTTGGAATTTAGCTTAAGGAAATAATTCAAGAGAAGAAAAAGTTATATGTAATAAAGCACTTAACCCAGTGTTACTGAAGAGAAAGACTTGGAAATAACCTAACTGCCCAGCAGTTAGGGATGATTCCTTGAGTTATAGGACCTGTGTATCATGCAAGTGGAATTACTAAAGATGGTGAAAATTTATTCCATTTACTGAGGTTCCATCTACTGATTTAGCACTTTTCTAAGTACTCCATATTCATTATGTCTGTTCACCTTCACAGCAATCCCAGGAGATAGGTGCTGCTATTGTCCCCAGTTTACAGAGAGAGGAACTGAGGCACAGAGCCAGGATCCCAACCCAGGCAGTCTGCCTCTAGCATTCCGTATAATTACAAAGGTTACACAGAAATAGGGAGAATGTTCAAGATATATCAATTTATCAATAACTCCCTCTCCGTCCGTTTTCTCCAGTGTTTCACAATGTCTTTTCAGTGTACTTAAAAGTGTTTAATTCATTGTGCTGTGGGGCAGGGATAGGGCCAGGCCACACAGCTGCGGTCAACCCCCCCGGTGATTGTCCTCCGTGGAAGAGGGGCAGCCAGGGAAGAGCCTGGAGTCTGGGGCCGGGCTGCTTGGGTTCCGATCCAAGGTCTCTGTCTTGAGCAGCTAGGTGGTGGTGGCTTTGCCACTCACAAGTATGCGACCTGGGACAGCTTCTCCAAGCTTTGGTGCCCCCTCTGAAAAACTGGGAATAACAATTGAACTGGTGGGAGGCATCAGGGAGGGTTAGTCAAAGGATTTCGAACAGAGCACACCGTGTGTTTTTATTAATAAAGGGCTGGGGCAACAACCATCCCCGAGCCTGTTGTCTTCTCTCTGGTAATGCATGGAATTTAAAGACCGTGCCCTGGATGTGACTGGCTGAGCAAAGACTCTGCCAGAGATGAGGCCCAGCGGCTGGGGTGGTGGGGTGGGAGGGAAGGGGAGTGGGGAGACCATGCAGCAGCCCGACCACAACACCCAGTGCCTCCCCGGCCGGAGGTGTGCACGCCGAAGGCCCCTCGGGAAATGCCCCGCCGGGACGTACCAGAGCCTCCCAACCCGCTCTGCAAAGGATAAAAGCATGGTGTTCAGCAATAGCTAGTTACAAACACCACAGTTCCCCAACTGATGACACCAACAAGCAGGCTACCAGCCCAACCTCAGGGATGCCCGGGAACCTGCCGGGACAGGTGCGCCAGTCTCAGCAACACAGCCACTCTCCGGCTTGCAGGTGACGACGCAGGTGGCCCTACGTGGGAGCACGGCGGCGGCGGCGGGGCATTTGCTCAGTTGGCAATAGTGAGCACCATGTCCTTCCAAAGCACTTGGCGGCAGAGGTTCTCCTCCACGGACACTCAGCTCCTGCCTTTCACCGGCGCCCAGGGCCTCGTCCTCCAGGTCCCCATGATGTACCAAATGGCCGAGGTCAACTACGGTGAGCTCCTTCCCCACTCGCGGGGCCGTCTTAAGTGAGAGGAACACGGGAGCAATGTGGGCCATGTCTGCTCTAAAAGGACCCGCACTGTTTCTCTGCCTTTCCTCTGCTGTGAGGTGGGTGCGGGGCAAGGAGAGCCCAGGGGGCAGGAAGACCCAGAGAGGACAGTGAGGAAGCAGGGGTGGGGGAGAGAAATCGAATCTCACGCTTGACATTTCCCTCTGCACCTAGTAAGTAAGAGGCGTTAGTGTAAAACCAAAAATGTTTGGACCAGACCACCCCCACCCCCAGAGGCACCCCCCTGAAATGAACAGCCATTTCACGGTTTGGCTCTGAGAAAGGGCGGAAGATTGAGTCCAGTCTAGAAAGCTTTTGAGAGTGCGCCCCCGTGGACCTGACATCCGTCATTGCGCCTGCCCGCCCTGCCTGGATGGTCACTCATCCCAGCCCACTGGGGTGCAGGTGCGCGGAGTGCCAGGCTGGCCCGCAGCGTGGACGCCTCCATGGAGCCCCAGCAAGGCAAGAGGAGAAGAGAAGGGACCCAGCTACCTGTCCCCACACACCTCTCTCGAAGCCCTCATTTGCAGGCTCAGCCCTTCCAGCTGGGGGACTAATTCCAGTGAGACAGTGTTTTAGGAACTCCAGCATTTAGAAAATGTGCTATGATCCTGCTTTGATTCCATGCAGGACGCATTGTGAGTGCTCATCACAATTTAATCATTTGTTTATTCAACCAGTAATTATTAGCTGAGGTCAAGTAAGATGAGAGTGGAAGAACGTCGATTGGATAAGTAAATATGTATTTATGACTACTATAGTTCTTGTTCCCAATGTTTTCCCCAGCGCTGCTGTGACCCATGCTGGTTGATCTGTCAGCTGCATAACATTTCCCAATTTTATGTGAAATCTGGGCTTAAAGCTTTTGTTGAAAGAAAGATCTGGCACAAAGAGCCTGGGTCCCCACATGGCCACAAAAGGCCAGGATTGGAATGGCTTCCCCTTTAAGATGGGCCGTCTGGGTGGCTCAGTTGGTTAAGCGTCTGCCTTCAGCTCAGGTCATGATCTCAGTGTCCTGGGATCGAGCCCCACGTCGGGCTCCCTCAGCCAGGGAGTCTGTTTCTCTCTCTCCCTTTCCCCCGCTCATGCTCTCTCTTGCTTGTTCTTTCTCTTAAATAAAATCTTTTTTTAAAAAAAATGGATTTAAAAACAAACAAACAACAAAGACGATAGATGGCTCTCCCACGTGCCATTAGCCCCACCGTGCCTGGCCACTGCAGGCCCTGTGACTCAAGGGTATCTTAGAAATTCTAGGTCTTAAGATCAGAAAAGGTGACAGTCTTTGGCCTCAACTGCTTCCTGAGGGTGAGGTAGACACCTGTTAATAAAATGTATTGTTTCCAGTTCTGTGAGATGGCCCTTCCCCGGCTCCTGGGATAGAACTAATACCCCACCCTCCTCTCCTGAACCCCCAGGCCAGTTCCAGGACCATGCAGGCCATCAGGTGAGGGTGCTAGAGTTGCCTTACCTGGAAAGTTCAGTGAGTCTGCTCCTGGTTCTGCCTCGTGACAAAGACACCCCACTGAGCCTCATTGAGCCACACCTCACAGCCAGCATTCTCCGCATCTGGACCTCCAGCCTCAGGAGAGCCAGAATGGACGTGTTCCTGCCCAGGTGAGTGGCTGCATCGTCCTTATGGGGTGCTCAGCAGCCTAATCCAGTTGGCCAGGCCTGGATTAGAGAACCCAGGTGGTCTCACTCTGGAGTCTGTCCTTAACCACTGGACCCACTTGTCTAATGGACCCCTAGAGGTTAGGCCAAGGAGGAGTGACCCTAGAGTTGGGGTCCAGGGTAGAGTCTCTACTGACTAGCTCATGATGCAGATGGAACAGAATTAATTTCCTGGGGTCTTCTCAAGAGAAGATACTCTGCCTTAACTGGACCAGACTGGAATCCCCAGGCTTCAGCTACAACCAGTTCTCTGAGCAGTGAAAGAACAGTGCAGTTACCTGGGAGGAATGTGCCCCAAATCTGATCACATCCTAACAGTATACAACATTTTTCCAAAACGAAAAAGGCAAGATAGTTTATGTAATTGAGCAAATACCAAAGTAATTCTGATCAGAAGGCAAATTAAGGTATAAAAAATTCAAGACTTCTAGTCTCTGTGCTGAAGGTTCTCATTCTTTCTCAATAGAGTTTAGCTTTTCTTTAAGAAAACCCAATAGGTACAAATACAAATTGTCAAAAAGTTAAATGATGGTTCTAGACTTTGCTTTTCCAAAGCAAAATTTATCTGCAAAGCTCATTACTTGACAAAGAATTCCTTATTGAACTTCTTTAAATGATAAGCTTCTCTGGTACATTTGAAATCAGAGTAAACTTGTAATTAATTTGTAGACCAGCATTAAACAAGGAACGTTGTCCGAGGGCTCGAGATGTGGATTCTTCGCGCTCCTTCCTGCTGGCCGCTTTGGCCTCCTCTGCTGACCAGGCCCTCAGCAGCAAGGAGCCAGTGGTCTTGGCAGTGCTCCTTCGAGGAATTAAAAATAAGCCCAGACACTGAAATAAAAACACACAAAGAGAGACCCCAGTGAGTTAAGGGCCAAGGTCTAAAGTGGGACCTGACATAACCAGGGCAGAAGGTAACTCTAAGATAAAGACTGTGTCTCTCCAAACCAAATATCTGGACCCCAAATGAAAGCACAAAGACGGGATATTTCAACAGATCTTCTCTAGCATGGAACAGAAGCAACACTAATCTTTCTGTTATGTTTGAGAGAAGCTCGGGGAAGGAAGAGGAGCTTTCAATGTGAAAAGTAGAGAGAAAGTGCAACACGGTGCAGGAATTTGCAATCTTTTCAGAATGAGGAGACAGATGGCTGGCCTCATCCTGGAGTGGCTGCTGTGAAGAAGAGGCCCCAGCAAGATGCCCAGCTCCTCTGAGAGCCCTCCACTGTCTCTGAGTCCACCTTCAGAGGAATGATCTGAAAAACCCTGAAGACAGGGACAGGATGGGATGGCAGAGATCATAACAACACAGTCTTAGTCAACACTTGACCTTATCCTAATAGATTTCTTTTTTACCTCCCTAAGACTATCGAGCCTGCCGTCCAAGAAGGATAGAAGGTTTTAGCAAAATGAGGCTGTTTCACCAAACTCACCAAGTAAAGAAACAGCTTCAAACCCTTGAAGGAATAGAGAAAGAATTAAAACTAGGTTTTAGGTCTAAATCTGGGTACAAAACTTTGGACCATGGTAGACACAAGTCAAGTTTTGGGCAAGAACTTACCTCTAGTTCTGCAAATCATTCATTCATCATTTAATATGATCTGCTTTACAGCCAGCCTGCGTTTTTCATTTAGCAAGAGCAAAAACTTTTGCACACTGTGAGTAGCAGTGCAAAAATCGTGTGGCAGTGAGGTGTGCCTTTGGGTTAAGCATCACCAAAGAGTGTATTAGTAGATTCTGGATGGAATGATGATGTCTAGCTTCCAAAGTAATATTTTATTTATGAAGAAATGAAATAAAATATATAGGGACAATTAGTCTTGGTATGATATTAGCATACCAAAAGAATAACCAAGAAAGCCAATTTATATCCATAATAATGTAATGCCCCACAAGAAAGACTAATAATGTCAAATATATATTAGTTTAATGAATAAGACACTTGGTTATTAGATCGACATAGTAGGAAGCTAAGCATGAGCATTTTTTTCTGATAATAGAAGTGACATAGGATTTTTTTTATTGAAGACAATTAACATACAGTGTTATAGAGTATCAGGTGTACAGTATAATGAATCAGCAATTCTTAGTGCTCATCATGATAAATGTACTTTTAATCCCCATCACATATTTCACCCATTCACCCATCCTCCACCCACCTCCCCTCTGGCAACCACTAGTTTGTTCTCTGTGTTTAAGAGCCTGTTTTTTGTATGTGTCTCTTTTTCTCTTTGTTTGTTTGTTATGAGTATTTTAAAAATCCATCAGATCTCATATATTCAGAAGTTTTGGCCTTCCTTTCAAAAAGCTACTAATCATCGTCTGTGTGGATTGTGTTTTTCTATGGGCGTTTTCTTTCTTTTTTAAAAAACTGAGATATAATTCACATAACCATAAAATTCATTCTTTTAAAATGTACAATTCAGAGGTTTTTAATATATTGGTGAAGTTGTGCAACCATTACCACTATTTAATTCCAGAACATTTTCTTTACCTCAAAAGGAAACTCCATGCCCATTAGCAGTCCCTCCACATTCCTTCTCCTCACTCGTGTCCTAGGCAACCACTAATCTACTTTTGCTCTCAATTGACTTATCTATACTGTATATTTCATATAAATGAAATCATACAACATGTAGCCTTCTGAGTCTGGCGGCTCTCACTTAGCATGTTTTTAAGGTTCATCCTTGTCATAGTATGTATCAGTATTTCATTCTTTTTTATGGTGGAATAATTTTCCATTTTATGGATATACTACATTTTGCTTTATCCATTCATTGGTCTATAGACATTTAAGTGCCTGGAAACTTTCTGGCTTGTTTTCACTTTTTGGCTTCTGAAACACATTCATGTGTACATTTTTGTATGGGTATAGGTTTTCAGGTATCTTGGTTATATACCCAGGAATGGAAATACTGAGTCATGTGTTAACTCTACTTTTTACATCTTGAGGACCTACCAGACAGCTTTCCAAGGGGCTATACCATTTTACATTCCCACCAGCAATTTTGAGGTTCCAGTTTCTCCACACCCTTGTCAACATTTGTTATTGTCCATCTTTTTTGGTAAGTCCCTCTTCATGTGGGACGTGTGGCAGTGCAGAGTTTCAGTTTGGTATGATGAGAATTTCCAGAGTGGATAGTGGTGGTTGGACAGCAATGTGAATATACTTAACATTACTGAATAATGCCCTTAAAATGGTAAAATTTTATGTGGTGTATATTTTACCACAGTTCTTTTTAAAGTCCCTCTGAATGGAGGGAAGGGTTAAAAAGTAGGGATGTTATAGAGTTTACATTCGGCAACTATATAGTTATTCTTAGTTACGTTAGTTAGGATGCATTCACCTCCTCTGCCCTCCAGCAATGCCCTCCTCTGTGTTTTGGTTTCTCCCTCAGGCTGGAGGCAAGATGGCTGAAACCTGTCTGACCTCACAACAGTGTATAACAACAGCTATAGGAGAAGAAAACCCCCATCTTTTTATTGTAACTATCCTAGTTGGTGTGAGGTGGTTTCTCATGGTGACTTTCATTTGCATTTCCCTAATAACCGATGACGTCAAGCATATTTTCATGTGCTTTCTGGCCATTTACATATCTTTTCTGAAGAAATACTTATTTGAATCTTTTCTCCACTTTTAAATTGGTTGTCTTTTTATTGCTGAGTTGTAATAGTGCTTTATATATTCCAGATACTGGTCCCTTACCAGATTCATAATTTGCAAATATTTTCTCCCATTTTGTGGGTTATCTTTTCACCTTCTTGATGGTGTCCTTTGAAGCACAAAAGTTTTTAATTTTAACGAAGTTCAGTTAATGTATTTTTTCTTTTATTTCTTGTGCTTCTTTTGATGTCATTTCTAAGAAACCATTGCCTAACCAAGGTCACAAAGATCTATGTTTGTGCTTTTTCTAGGAATTTTATAGTTTTAGCTCTTATATTTTGAGTTAATTTTTGTATGTATTATGAGGTAGAAGTCCAATTTCATTCTTTGCACGTGGTTATCCAGTTGTCCCAGCACCATTAATTGAAAAGACTATTCTTTCTCCCATTGAATTTTCTGGGTACCTTTGTTGAAATTAATTGACTATAAATGAATGGGTTTATTTCAATGGGTTTACTTTCAATTCTATTCTATAGGCACAAATGTCTATACTTTAACCACTATGACACAATGTCGTGATTACTATAATGTTTAGAAATCAGGAAGTGTTAGCCCTTCAACTTTGTTCTTTTTTCAAGATTGTTTTGGCTATTCTGAGTCCCATACATTTTCATATGAATTTTAGGATCAGCTTATCAGTTTCTGCAAAAAAGGCAGCTGAGATTTTGATGATGATTGTGTTTAATCTGTACATCAGTTTGAGAATATTGCTAACAATATTAACTGTTCCAATCTGTAAACACAGGACTTTTTTCATTTTACTTATGTCTTCCTTAGTTTCTTTTGATTATATTTTTTAGTTTTCAGTGTACAAGTTTTGCATTTCTTTTGTTAAAATTATTTCTAAGTATTTTATTCCTTTTGATGCTATTATAAATTTTATTTGCAGATTATTCATTGCTAATATAAAAAAACACAGTTGACTTTTGTACCTTGATCTCATATCCTCCCACCCTGATGAACTCATTTATTAGTTCTAAGAATTTTTTCATTCTGTGTGTGTATTCCTTAAGATTTTCTGTATACAAGACCAAGCTGTCTGTGAATAGAGATAGGTTTATTTCTTCCTTTCTAATCCAGATGCATTTTCTTTTTCTTGCATAATTGCCCTCCACACCCTTCAGGACAATGTTAAATAGAAATGGTGGACATCCTTCTCTTATATCTGATCTTAGGAGGAAAGCATTCAGTCTTCACCATTAAGTATGATGCTAGCTGGGAGTTTTCTGTAGAGGCTCTTTTTCAGACTGAAAAATTTCCCTTCTATCTCAAGTTTATTAAGTGATTTTTGTTTTCATGAAAGGGTGTTGGATTTTTTTCACATGCTTTTCTGCATTTATTGAAATAATCATGTGGCCTTTGTCCTTTATTCTGTTAACCTGGTGTTTTACACTGATTGATTTTCATATGTTGAACCCACCTTGCATTCCTGGGATAAATCCCACTTGGTCATGGTGGGATTTATATGTTGCTGGATTCAATTTTCTAGTATTTTGTTGAGGATTTTGCATCTATATTCATAAGGGATATTAGTCTGTAGTTTTCTTTACTCATGATATCATTGTCTGGTTTTGGTAAAGGGCAATTTTTTTACTCAAGATATTTTTGTAGCATTTCTTCTGGGCTGGCCTTCATAGCCATACAAGAAAAAAAAAATCACTCTCACCTTTTATGGTCATACCTCACTTTTACTATTATCTTTAGTTACTAAAAATGATATTACCCAGTTTTATCACCTACCATAATCACCATATTTGGCTTCAAACATCCCTGAGCTTTTTCTCAATATCCCTGAGAAACAATAAAACCACAGCAGTAACAATAAGTGCATGAGGTGTCCTGGGCATTGTTGAGCACTTTACAAGAATTATTTCACTTAATCTTCACAAAGCTATAACTAAGCACTACTATTATGCTCATTTCACAAATAAGGAAATGGAGGCAAAGAGAGGTAAAGTAACTTGCCCCACTTCCCTCAGTTAGTAAGAGGCTGTGCCAGGATTCAAATCCTGGCACTGCACTCCCAAGTCCATGCTCTTAACCAATGTGTTTCAGCAGTAAGAGTTTTCAAGGTGGATGTGTTTTAAGAATTTAAGAAAATTTTAGAAGAGGTGGTGCAAAATATTTTTTTGAGAATGTCAGCATAGTTGGAGAAGACGTAAAACCTTTTTGGGAAACTATTCTAAAACATATATTTATAAGAAAATATGATGCTTCTGTTTAAAATATTAGTCACATCATCTCGTATGGCAATGAAGATCTTTGATATTAAATGGTCTTGTCCGGTCTTTTTACTTTCCTACAAGTTCTGCATAGTTGATAGAAAAAGATCATCTAAATTCCATTTCAAACTTTTTTATTTTCAAAGAAAAATAGTGTGAGCAATCCTTTAAAAGGATCCTTCAACAGTAAAATTTTAAATGCCTTGCCCTTGGAGAAATATTACAAAGTTGGTGTGTTGATTCTTCCTGCTCACAGGACTTATTAGGAAAACCAAAGCTTTAACTTGCATTCCTTCCCTCCTATGCATCAAAGACACACACTGCACACAGCAAACACAAAAATAGGTCTTATAAAATATGAACATATTAAATGAGACACTCTATTAATTGTCAATTAATCAACAGCTTCTTTTCTGCACCTACTATGTGAGATGCCTCACAAGATGGGAGGTAGCAAAGAGTAGACGCCAGCAGCACATGCTCTGCACTCAGACAGCCTTGCTTTGTGTTGAGTTCCACCACGTATTCATTACGTCATCTTGGGCAAGTGTCTTAATCTCTTTAGGCTTCAGTTTTCTCATCTGTAAAATGAGGATAATAATAACATAGTTATGTGAAGATGAAATTAGATAATCCACATAAAACACTTGTCATAGTGTCTAGCACTATTAGGAAATAAAACATTGACTGGGATAGCCTCTCTTCTCAAGTAGTTTATAATGTCATAAATAATAGTAATAGGAAGCAGAATATTCCATACACCAAAAGAGCAGGACAAACAAAGTGTTAATGGGGCCTTAGCAACCAAAGGACACAAAACAGCTGGAGAGGAAAGGAGAGGATAACAATTGAATTGAGCTTAGAGGAAATGGTAGTCATGGTAGTAACTCAAAGGCAATCAAAGGAGATGGCATGGAAAGAACAGCAAAAGCAAAGGTTTAGAGGTGGGAGCAAGCCCTGTGTGGTCAGACTAGTCAGGGAGTAGGGTTTATGAGAAGGAGCAATGAAAAATAAAGCTGGAAATGAGGCTGGAGATCCCTGACTTCCAAGTTAGGGAGTTTGGCAGTCATGTGTTGTATATGAAAATATTTTGAATGAGATTTTTAAATGAAAGTTGATGGTTTGTTTTTGTTTTTTAGATTCAGGATCCAAAATCATTTCAATTTAAAAAGCATTTTAAATTCTTGGGGAGTCACCGATCTTTTTGATCCACTCAAAGCTAACTTGAAAGGAATTTCAGGTAACACTTCTTTTTTCAAGCTTTTTGGCATTGTGCTTGGGGGCAGCTTTGTCATACTTTGATTAAGGGATTTTCATCTACAGAGGCTTCAATGGTACGGTCAGAGTTAACATTATTTAAAAGAATAAAGAAAACTTTGCTTTATATAAGAATATGTTGCTTCAGAAAACAGCCAAATTTGGGTTGGACTTTGCGGGGGAGGAGTGTTTCTTGAGACCTCTAAGCACTGTTTTTGGGGACCACCTTCAGGGTGAGGTCAATGGCCATAGAACACAATACAACTCACTCTCCCTCTGCCTATCATGACTGGGAGCATGCCAGAGACAGTGGTGCAATAATAGAGCTCTTCATTCTGACCTCCCACTGTCATGCCAGCCTCACAGTCACCCTTTGTTTCTACCTCTTCCCTCTCCCTCCCTCCTTGTACCATTTCTGTCCTCTTCTCATAAACTAACCTTGAAACTTTCCCTCATCCATCCAACTTCCTTTCTTCAAATTACTCATGTATCTGTAATCTTGCCCTAAAGTGTTCTCCTTTCCCAAGGCCATATTAAATTTCTTTGCCCCTACTAGACACTAATCAATAGGAGCTGTATTTGCTTATGATCTGAGAGGGAACTTACATCAAATATTAAAAAAGAATGGAATGCCAAAACCTTATGTTCCAGAATCTTCTCAGAAGCCATTAGTTAAACTATTGCTAACTCCAAAGGCTCAGGTTTGTTTCTGCTCTGGATAGTAATAAATTATCTGTCTGAAGATAATTAATTACCTGTAGCAGGTATTTTAATTGGCCTTGATGCTTTCTTTGCCTGATGAGCTTCGGAATCTCCATTTTAAATGCTAGAACCTCATCACACAGAGTTTTCTAAAGCTTTGCTCAAAATCTTATTAAGCAATCACATGCACACACACACACACACACAGAGGAATTTGGTCCATAAAATCAGTTTTGGCTTGTGCTTTAGATGTAACCAGACAAACTAAATGGCAGTTACTTATCAAATAAAGCACAGGAGAAAGGATCTATTCTAGAGTGTTTAAAACCCACCAGCGCTGTACTCATTACCTCAACATGCAAAGAGATAAGCAAAGCAATAGTCACGTTTGGGTACAGCGCCCCCAACAATGGTTGGTGCACAATGGATAGTCAATAAATATTGTTGATTTGGTTGAATGACTCAACCAGAAATTTTCCCTGGTGACGCAGGCATAATCTGACACTGTAGGGAAAAGAGGAAGACTAGAGTGAAAGGATCAGAGGTCAAGGAAAGAGGAAGGGATAAAGAACTTGAGTGAGCTCTATCTTTAATAATGTGCAAAATCCAATCACAGTGTCTTCTCATGACTCCAGAGCTAGGCTAGAGAATTTCTGTTGTTGATGATGATACTATTCATCCTTTGATCATTCTAGTTCAAAACTTTGGGGCCATTCTTGACCTTTTCTTCCACACCACTACATTCAGTTAATCACTGTGACTCACTGATTGTTCCTTTATAGTTCTTAATCTCTCTGCCTTTATGTCCTGGAAGTACATCTCAAAATGCCATTAATCCTATGTCCTCAAATAGGACTGAGCTTGACCCACCCACATCATGCAGCTCCCCCACTGATAAAGACTTCCAAGACCCATAAGCTCTCTTGACAAGCTATAACAAGCAATCTAGTTTAGAAAGAACACTTTTTCATACTTTTTTATAATGCAGTTAAAGTCTATGTAGATTTGTTCAAACCAGCAGAAATACAGGCTCATGGATCTAACTTGTTAAATAATTATCGAGCAGTTAGCATGTGCCAAGTGTGAAGCTTGAATTCATGTCTCTTACTGATAAAACACATCAGCCTTATCTCCCATAAAGTTCTGTTCCTCTAACACAGGGCTCACCATGCAATGACCCAATCCTTGTTTTTGTAAATAAAATTTTAATGAAACAGCCACTCCCATTTATTTACAGATCATCTATGGCTGCTTTCTTGCTACAATGGCAGAATTAGCAGTTGCAACAGACGCCATATGGCCTGCAATTGCTAAAATATTTAATATCTTGCCCTTTACCGATAAAGTTTGCCAACTACAGTATTGCTTTCCAATGCCCTTCTTTAAACATCATCAAGAGACTAGTCCTTCTGTGCCTAAGTGGGCTGTTGACTTAATTATGGAGGCATGGTGACTGAATCTAACAAATAGTTTCATCATTCCTAAAATGAGGTAGCTACCACCCACCTCACATCTTACTTATGGAAATAAAATTCTTTAACATATAACAAAGCATCAACAGAGAGCTTGCCAGAAAATAAGTCATCAGAAAATGCTGTCTCCCTTCTTACAATTAATAAGAGGTTACCAAGCAGTTTTGTACTATTGATAGAAGCCCAAACCACAGGGAACATTTGGCCTTTTCTTTCCATTTGGTTCCAATGCCCAGAATTATTTTACTCAAGTTTTTCCCCATTTAAAAGTGACTCGTCTCTTCCTTCATGGCATCCAATCCTTTCCTGCTGCCTGAAAAAAACTTGTTCAGTATCATCTCAAGGCCCAATTGAGCCCAGGTTATAGTTTTTCTCCCCAGACATCCCTTGACACTACATGTTATAAAGCTTTTAAGAGTAATTCCAGTTTCACTTACACAAAAGTTACCAGCTGGAGATATACTTCTTGAGCAACCAGAAGGATCAGCAGGCTTTGATACAAACTCATGCTTCCTAATCCAAGAAATACCTCTTTTGCATAAAGTTAAAACTTCAAAGCAACTATCTTATTCTGGACTTTTATAAATGAATAATTAGTTTCCAATCTCTGCTCAGTGAGAACTACAAGCTCCGAGTTACTACAACTTAAATGAGCAAACCACACATAGTTGTTTGGTTACATACTGAAGTTAATTTATGCCACACCAGATGACTGATCAGACCTACAATAGATCATCAAGATGGTGAGATAAGTCATCCCCAACTTCAGTCCCCCTCCTAAGAAGACCAACTAGCCACTGTCCATAGACAAGTCACCACTGTGGAAATCCCAGCACCCAGATGTGAAACTGAAGCACCCCTCTGAACCACAGAGACTGAGAAGGACCATATTAGAATGGTAAGAGGAGCAGCTACACTTGGACTGCATCACCCCTCCTCCAGGCTGACATAGCACTGCACCAAGAGTACCCTCTCAGGCCTACTATAATTTCTTCAGTGAGAAAAGAAAATCAAGGTGGACGTCCAACTCTTCCAGGGTCGCAGGACACTTCTGAAAGACCCATTCAGGTCTTGCCTCCTGGGGACAACTTAGGAATCAGATAGAGATGGAGAAGTGGGAGGCAAGGCTTACATTAACCAGCACTCAAACCTTGGCAGACCAAGTGCCTGCCGGTAGCAGTACCCAAGCAAAGACTCCAACCAGCAGGAATGCCCCTCTGCAAGGCAAGGCTGGTGGCCCCATCTAGCCAGAGAGCTTGGTTGGCAGTTCTGCCCAATTTGGGTCCATAGTCAGTGGACCATACTACCACTCTACCTTTCAGGAAAGCAAAATCACAGCCCTACCCAACTGCTAGGCATAGTCTCAAGTCCCATCCATTGAGGAAGACTGACAAGAGAACCCAGCTAGCTGAGAAGCCCATCCTACAGCTCTGCTTGGGCAGAGAGCCTGGCCAGCTGCCCTGCCCAACTGTTGAGCATATCCCCTGTCTCCACATAACCAATGAGTCTGAAGAATGACCTTGGGCAGCCTTGTAGCCCAGCCCACAGTGCTACCAAGTCACAGAGCCCAGCCTGTAGCCCCACCCAACTTCAGGGCACAGCTGGCAGCCCCACCTGAACATGGAGCCCAATCAGCAGCACCATCCAGTTGGGAAGCACAGCATAAGACTACCTGACGAGGAGAGATTGTAGAATCCCTCTCATAGTTACCCAATCATGGTGTCCAACCAGTGGCACCACCCTGTCAGGAAACACAGCCTACAACCTCATCAACCAAGAGTTGATTGCAGACTTAGGGGCTCAACCTGACAGTGAAAAGGCTGAGTCACTAGCTCTGACATAGCCAGAAGCTCCACCTGAACAGCGAGCCCACCCGAGCAGCCCTGCTTGAATACAGAACCCAACCAGCAGTCCCATCCAGCCATAGAACCCAGGCAGCAGCACCCCACTGCAAACTCAGAGAAAATAGAGAGGCTGGCCCACACAGAGATGATGATAGTAAGCCCAACCTGCCCACAAATTCTACCAGCTGACTGGTAAAGATGTTTCCTTACCAAAGCAAAACTGTAAAGCCTGGAAAAGGAGACCGCTTACTGAAATACACAGATACCAATACAAAGAAGCAAGGACCATGAAAAATTAGAAAAATATACCATCCAAAGAAATGAATAAAGCTCCAATAGCTGCCCTAAAAATATGGAGATGTATGAACTGCTTGACAAAGAATTCAGAACAATCCTCTTAAAGAAGTTCAGCAGACTACAAGAGCACAGAGACAACTAAACAATATTAGAAAAACAATGCATGAACAAAATAAAAAGTTCAAGAAAGAAATAGAAACCATCAAAATAAAACAAAACCAAGAGACCCAAACAAACAGAGATCCTACAGCTAAAGAATAAAATGACTGCACTGAAGAATTCAATAGAGAGCTTTAACAAGACTCAGCCAAACAGAGGAAACAATCAACTAGAAGATAAATCATTTCAAATTATCTAGTCAGAGGAACAAAAAGAAAAAAAAAAAAAGAATGAAAGAGTGAAGAAAGCCTGTGGGAAATTGGGGACTCCACAAAACAAAAAATATACTTATTATGGGAATCCCAAAAGATTAAAGAAAAAAAAGGGAAAGTCTACTTAAAGCAATAATGGCCAAAAACATTCCAAAAATGGGGAGAGAAATGGGCTCCCAGATTCATGAGGCCCAAGGAATCCCAATAGGTTGAACCCAAAAAGGGCTACACCAAGACACATTATAATTAAATTGTCAAAAGTTAAAGACAAAGAAAGAATTTTAAAAGCAGCAAGAG